TGCTAGGCGGGCGGCGGAAGGCGAGAGCCCTGAGGTCCAGCAGCGAAGGGTGGAACTGCAACTGGACAGGACAATGGGGCGATGTCGCAGCGGCCAGATCCACCGCCGCCGAACGAACCCCCTGCGCCAACCTGCCAGACACCAAGAAAAGATCGCAGAAGGCGGGGCTGCCCTCGCCCGGGAAACACGCATCCCCGCGCGGAAACACAATCTGGCACGAGATCTCCCAATCGAAACCCGACTCGCTGGGCGCGGATGGGGCAAAAGTCCAAGCCCCCCCCCCCCCACGCCCACCCCCCACCACCCCCAAAACAACAAACTACTCAACCGACAACGACGACAAGAAAACCCCCAGATGCTTCAGGATTACGACGTTCCCTCCCGAGAAGCCTTCCGAGTGGATCACGCAAAAGGAGGCCGGGCAGGAAGCCTCGCAGCCAGGCACATGCACCACTGTGGCTACAGCACGCCCTAGGTGGATAACCGTCGAGGACGCCTCGTAGATCCCTATGGCATCGCGGGCAAAAACGGCAGCACCAGAGCTGGCGCCGCCACGTGGTCCGCCCACCCCGGGACACCGAACCGACTTCCAGCCGAGCCTTCTCACTGAAGCCGCCGCTCCGTCGATATCTGAGAGGCCCTTGAGGCGGCGCCCCTGGCCCAATAACGCCCAAGACGTCGAGTCGCCCAAGCAACTCTCCAAGGGCCCCCAGGACTTGCAATTGGCCGCGGTAATCGCAACGCTCTCTTGGACCTCCACCCCAGCTCCCGGCGCGCTGTCGGCAACAGCAGCAGCAGCAGGAGCACGCGGGGGAGCAAAAGGAGAGGCGCGTGGGCCAGGCCATTGGACCACGAGACAGCCGCGGGACTCAGCGGGGCAAGAAGCGCATCAAAAACAAAGGTCGCGACTAGCCCTGGCACTTCCGCTAGAGAAGCCCCTGAAATAACGGATCCCTGAAATCCTAGAATTGGCACCAATGCTCGACGCCCTGTCTGCGAAAAAGCAAAAATGCGAAAAAGCAAAAGTGGGGCGCGCCAGCTGACCCGAGACCAATTGGTTGCCAGCCGCGATATGCAGACCAGGGCCGTCAGGACCGCTGCCTCCCCCCTCGAGAGGGGGGAGAGACACCAGACGAGATTTCGCAAAACCGGGAACGCACATCCTGTTCAGCAATGACAGGCTCGGCCTCGGACTCATTGCGGGGCGACCCACTTCCATCAGCGGCCGTCGCGCCCGCGCCAGATCCTGCAGCGCCGCCGTCTGGAGTAGGAATATCCCCCCCCCCCCTGGGCTGGGCACCGCCTGCAGTCCGCCGACGCTCGATGTCAATTCTGCGAAGGCGATCGTCATGCCCCTTCTGTTGGGCCTTTGCCGTATCCACCACTTCTTTGACCAACCGAGTAGCCAACTCTTGCACGCCGTCCGTGAGCACCTCGAGCCGACGGCCAATATCGAGCTGGCCCTCCGCTGTAATCTCGTGGCCCTCACCCACTTCCAATGCGTCGCACGAAATGTGCGACCCCAAATCGAACTTGCCGCCCACCAGGTCCGTAAGCGCAATGGGCTTGGGACTTGTGCTGGCACCATCTGAAGTCTCGATCGCCGCCTCATGGTTGAGTTTGACCACCAACAGCTTGTAGCCGGCGTCTACTTGAGACAGAACCTCCTTCGCATCCTTGAGCTTGCTGACCAGACAGGTCCTGGCGAAGACGAAGGAACCTGGCCAACTCCGACTCCGTACGCTTCTCCAGCTGTTTGACATGGCCATGAGCGCTTTGAACCTGCTGGCGCAGCGGTGGCTGTTGTGGCTGGCGGGCCGCAACCCGGAGATGCTCGGCAAAGCTGTCGTTCTAATTCGCCATGCCTTAGCCTCCCGCCCTGAGAGCCAGCGAAGCCAACTGATCCGCCTCGTCAGCAACGATAGTGGGAACGGGGCCTGACGGGAGAGGAGGCACACAGCCACCTCCCCCTCCACCGCCAGGGCTGGCCAGGGAACAACCTCCCTTGACCAGGTCTCCGCCCCCACTGCCAGCTCGTCCAAACCCGTTGTGATCCCCGTTGCCTCCACACTCGCCACCAGACGCCATGGAAGAATACCACATGTCCGACATGAGTGAAGGATCCCGAACGAAGACGCCACGGTGATGCGTTGACCAGGCTCCAATGGCAAAACTTGACCCACCATGACCAACCACAGGCAGAGGCGACAGGCAACGCTTGCAGTGAGACCACGATGACCTGTTCCTCTTGCATCCCACACGACGGGCAGGCAGCTTTGGGTGCACCGCCGGGCGCCCCTCCTTGCTGCCGACCTCCTCCGACACCACGAGCACACACGGCCCCCACCTCAGCCACCAGGCTGCGCCGCACGGCGCGGCCACGGAGCACCTGCGGAAGCCACACGTGGACGTACGAAAATGTAAAGCCTGAAACTCTAACAGGGATCATGCGCGAAAAGCTAGCGGTGCCAATCTGGCCCGCAACAGCAATGCCGTTCTGAAGCTCGCTGTTGCAAGTTGCAGCCTCCTCGCCCACAGACTTGGGAACCAAGACGGCCCGATGTGGGGACTCCTATTGTGGTTTCGGTGGCGACGTGCATCGGGGCGCGGCCGCTCGTCTCGGTGGCGAGGTTTCTTTCTCACACGGGTGCTCGCGCGCAACCATCGGGAATGACTGTCGCCGAGCGAACGCGGCTCGGAAGCGCGCAGACCATGACGCGCTCGCAGCTCCTCATCCTCCTCCTCATCACCACAACTAGCATCGCGGGCATCCTCAGCATCATCATCATCATCATCATCGTCATCATCATCATCATCATCATCACCATCATCACCATCATCATCATCATCATCATCATCATCAGCAGCAGCATCAGCATCAGCATCAGCATCAGCATCAGCATCAGCAGCATCATCATCATCATCATCATCATCGCCATCATCAACATCAGAATGATCATCCTCATCATCCTCATCATCAGCAGCAGCGTCATCGGCATCATCATGATGAACATCAGCATCACCATCATCATCAGCATCATCATGATCATCATCAGAACATTGCCGCATCATCATCAGCATCATCATTATCATCGGCTTCGTCATCATCAGCATCGTCTTCATCAGCATCATCATCATCATCGTCATCCTTATCCTCATCCTCATCCTCAGCATCCTAGTCATCCTTATCAGCCTCAGTATCATCATCATCATCAGCATCGTCATCATCATCGTCATCGTCATCATCGTCAGCATCATCATCATCATTATCACAACCACCACCCCATCACGCTCATCAGCATCACCATCGCCATTATCATTAGTATCCGCATCATCAGCATCATCATCATCAGCAGCAGCATCCTCATCATCAGCATCATAATCATCAGCAACAGCAGCATCATCATGAGCATCGTCAGCATAATCATCGGCATCATTGTCAGCTTCATCATTGTCAGAAGCATCACCACCATCAGCAACAGCATCAGCAACATCATCCCCATCCTCATCCTCATCATCCTCATCAGCAGCATCATCACCATCACCGTCACCATCATCAGCAGCATCAGCATCCACAGAATCAGCATCACCAGCATCATCAGCATCATCAGCATCAGCATCAGCATCGTCATCGGCATCAGCACCATTATCAGCAGCATCAGCATCATCATCAGCATGAGCATCATCATCAGCATCATCATCAACAGCATCATCACCATCATCACCATCATAAGCATCATCATCAACAGCAGCATCACCATCATCACCATCACCATCATCATCATAATCGCCATCATCATCATCATCATCATCATCATCATCATCACCATCCACATCATCATCATCAACATCATCCGCAGCATCGGCATCGTTATCGTCAGCAGCAGCATCACCAGCATCATCCGCAGCATCAGCATCATCAGCACCGGCATCAGCATCATAATCAGCAGCATCAGCATCAGCATCATCATCGTCAGCAGCACCTTCATCAGCATCAGTATCAGCATCACCATCCACATCATCATCAGCATCACCAGCAGCATCAACATCAACATCATCGTCATTGTCGGCGGCAGCATCGTCAACATCATCAGCTGTATCATCATGACCATCATCGTCATCAGCAGCAGCATCATCAGCATCAGCATCATGGTCCCCATCATCGCGATCAACATCAACATGCTCATCATCAGCAGCAGCACCATCAGCATCAGCAGTATCATCAGCAGCATCACCATCATCAGCATCATCAGCATTATCAGCATCGTCAGCATCATTAGTATCATCACGCACCCTGATTCCTCGCCCCTCATCCCTCATCCCTCATCACTCCTCCGCTCCCCAAGGGGGGGGACCGAGCCCAAGCCGCACCGCCTCCCTGTCCCTAGCCGCGTGACGAACTCCACTCCTCCTCCTCCTCCTCCTCCTCCTCCTCCTGCCCCTCATCCTCCTCATCCTCCTCCTCCTTCTGCTCCTCCTCTTCCTCCTCCTCATCCTCCTCATCCTCCTCCTCCTTCTGCTCCTCCCTCCGCCTCCCTCCTCCCTCCTCCCTCCTCCCTTCCTCCTCCTGAACACCTCCCTCCTCCCTCCTCCCTCCTCCCTCCTCCCTCCTCTCTCCTCCTTCCTCCCTCCTCCCTTCTCCCTCCTCCCTCCTCCCTCCTCCCTTCTCCTTCCTCCCTCCTCCCTCCTCGCGCGTGGGCCGATCTCCCTCCACCTCCTCCCTTCTCCCCTCCTCCTTCCTCCCTCTTCCTCCTCCCACTCCTCCTCCCCTCCCTCCCTCCCTCCCTCCCTCCCTCCCTCTCCCTTCCTCCCTCCCTCCCTCCCTCCCCTCCCTCGCTCCCTCTCCCCCCTCCCTCCCTCCCTCCCTCCCTCCCCTCCCCCTCCCCCTCCCCTCCCCCTCTCCCCCTCCCCTCCCCCTCTCCTCCTTCCTCCTCCTCCTCCTCCTCCTCCTCCTCCTCCTCCTCCTCCTCCTCCTCCTCCTCCAGCCGCGACGGCCATGCCTCGCGAGCGAGGACGGCGGCAGCGCGGTCGAGATCGTGGGGTTCTTCGCCGACGCCCCCTGGGCCGCGAGCCGAGGGGGGATCCGCAGCACGAGGGAGCCAGGGGGCGGTGCAGAAACGAGGAGACGAGGGAGAGAGAGAGAGAGAGAGAGAGAGGGAGAGCGCCGGAGAACGTCCCGGAGGGACGGCCCTTTGAGAGCCCGGCGGGGGCGCCGGAGCGCCAGAAGGCTCACTCGTTGTTGCTGGAGTGGAGGAAGCGACGCATATCGTCCAAAAAAGCCTTCTTCACGAGTCTTCCACCACGGTAGGTTCTGGGCCAACACCCACCATGTGGAATCGTTGTCGGTGTCGGCCACGTTATGGAAATACGGCTCACTCGAGTTTACGCTTCCCCGACAGTGGGCGTTTTTTTATCCGGCGTTTCGACATTAGGAGGAAGGGGAGGAGGGGGGCGTCTGGCTCCGCACCTCTGCTTAGTGCGACTGTTTGCAGCAGTGCGTCCACTATGGGGAGGCCCCACCTGCTCGAAACAGGCCTCAAAAACATCCAAGATCTACTCGAGGGGGGGGGAGGGGGGGGGTGCGAGGGCCCGCGCCGATCGGCAAAACAACGAATCAACAAACGACCACCATACTATCCACCCGTCTTCGCCTTTTTCCCGCCTCCGCCACTCTCGGGTCGGGCGAAAGAGGGGGATAGCAAAGGGGGGGCTTGAGAATCAGCTCACGTAGCTGATTATCCTGGCGCCTCCCGGCGCCAGAGGCGCCGCTGTATCGAGGAATGGCCCCCTCGGGGGGGCCGAAACCAGCTGCATGCAGCAGGTTTCGTAACCCCCCCTTTCCCAATACCCCCCTTTCGTCCGGCCCGACCCTCCATCACAACTTCCCCACTCCAGTGCCAGTCCTCCCGCACCACCCGCCGGCCACTCCCCGCCGAGGCTGCCCGGCTGCGCCTCGGAGGTGCTCGACTCGAGTCTCCAGCTCGTCCTCGGCGCCACCAGGCGGGGGAGGCGACCCCTGGTCCTCACCACTCCTCCTTTTTGATTGTCCCGCCTCCTCCTCCTCCTCCTCCTCCTCCTCCGCCTCCGCCTCCGCCTCCGCCTCCGCCTCCGCCTCCTCTTCCCTTCTCCTCCTGCTCCCGTGGTACGCGATCCCTCGTCGTCTCTCTCTCTCTCTCTTTCTCTCTTTCGGCACTCCTCCTCTCGGCCGACCTCCCTGTCTTCTCGCCACGCACCCCTCATAAGGCAGCGAAGAAATCCCCCGCAGGCATCCTCCATCCCTCCATTCATCCATCCCTCCACCCGCCCCTCCGTTCCTCCTTCCATTCCCCCTCTCCGCCATGCCCCTCTGACCTGCTTCCTTGTCCCGTCTGCTTCGATCCCGCATGCAGATCCCTCTCTCCATATGCAGGCCCCCTCTGAATCTATCCATCACAGGTGTTCGCCCACCCTCTCCCACCCCTCCCTCCCTCCTCCCACAGGGAACAAAACATTAGCCTGGCGACGAACCCATCCATCTGCAGTTGCGAATGCCGCAGTTGTAGGAATCGACTTCGGTGGAGCCCCCTCGTAGAACCACGAAACGCTGTACTGGGTGGGAATGGCGCGTGCGGGCTGCGCCACTGGGACCTGCGTTGGAGCTCCCTACGGGGCCACGAGACGCTGTACTGGGTGGGAAAACGTATGCGGGCTGCGCCACTGGGACCTTGGGGCAACGAAACGTTGTACTCGGTGGGGGGGGAACCACGCGGGCTGCGCAATTAAAGCCTTCGGTGGAGCTCCCTGTGGGGCCACGAAAAGCTGTATTGGGTGGGGGAGACGGTATGGGAAACGTATGCGGACTGCGCCGTTGGGAAAGCCAGTGGGACTCCCTAGAAGGCCACCAAATGCTGTACTGGGTGGGGGAGACGCATGCGGGCTGCGCCACTGGGACCCCCGCTGAAGCTCCCCGCAGGGCAACGAAACGGTGCACCGGGTGTGGGAGACGCATGCGGCCTGCACCACTGGGACCCTCGGTGGAGCTACATGTGGGGCCACGAAACGCTGTACTTGGTGGAGAGGACGCATGCGGGCTGCGCCACTGGGACCTTCGGTGGAGCTCCATACTGGGCCTCGAAAGGCTGCACTGCGTGTGGATGGCGCATGCGGGCTGCGCCACTGGGACCTGCGGCGGGGCTCCATATAGGGCCACAGCGCGCTGTATTGGATGGGGGACGCATGCGGGCTGCGCCACTGGGACCTTCGGTGGAGCTATGGGGGCATATGGGGCCACGAGATGCTGTACTGGGTGGGGGAGACGCATGCGGGCTGCGCCACTGGGACCTTCCGGTGTAGGACGCACGTCGGCTGCGCCACTGGGACCTTCGGTGGATTTCCCTGTGGGGCCACGAAACGCTGTACTGGCTGGGGGAGACGCGTGCGGGCTGCGCCAATGGGACCCATGCGGCCACGAAACGCTGTGCTGGGCGGGAGACGCATGCGAGCTGCGCCACTGGGACCTTCGGTGGAGTTCCCTGTGGGGCCACGAAACGATGTACTTGGCGTGGGAGACGCATGCTGGCTGTGCCACTGGGGCCTTGGGTGGAGCTCTCTATGGGGACACGAAACGCTACACTGGGCTTTGGAGACGCATGCGGCCTGTGCCTCTGGGGCCTTGGGTGGAACTCCCTGTGGGGCAACGAAAATGCGACAGGTAAGTCATTTCGTTTATACATAGCTGTTATAAATAATGTTCATACATGAGCCATTTATGGATACATGTATGCATGAACTCATCGTTTTTATACGAAATCCCTGCATGTTCAACACATGTTCCGCACGCGGGGCATGTATTAAAAACGGCACTGTATACGGGGCGTGGGAGACGCATGCAAAATGCGCCATTGGGACATTCGGTGGAGCTCCCGATGCGGCCACGAAACGCTTTACTGGGAGACGCATGCGGGCTGCGACACTGGGACACTCGGTGGAACTCCCAATGGGGCCACGAAAGGTTGTACTGGGTAGGGGAGACGCATGCGGGCGACGCAACTGGGGCCTTCGGTGGAGCTCCCTATGGGGCCACGAAGCGCTGTCTTGGGTGTGGGAGACGCATGCAAGCTGCGCCACTGGGGTCTTAGGATGGGTTCCCTATGGGGCCACGAAGCGCTGTACTGGGTTGGGGAGACGCATGCGGGCTGCGCCACTGGGGCCTTAGGTGGAGCTCCCTGCGGGGCACGAAACGCTGCAGTGGGTGTGGGGGGGGGCGCATGCGGGCTGCGACACTAGGACAGTCGGTGGAGCTCCCTGTGGGGCCACGAAGCGCTGTCCTGGGCGTGGGAAACGCATGCTGGCTGTGCCACTGGGGCTTTAGGTTGAGGCACTTGCCAAGCATATCCAGATTGGTGCAACATACAAGGCATGCTTTGTGCACCCGCCTCAGGCTCGCCCCTGGTCCAGTCTGTCTCCAGCGTTTCGGCGTGTGGTTGGCTATCCTCTTCAGGACCTGCCACAACCAACCACACGGGGCAGGCCGACGCTGTCACAAACGACGCCTTTGTTTCCGACTGTGCGAAAACACCACGCGTACCTCTTGAATGCAAAGATACAGCGTGTCTGGCTGTATTCTGGGATTCCCTCGTACACACCAAAATTGCCAGAAGATGTCAAGCCAGGCTCTGGAAACCCGCTGTTTTGGCCGTCGAAGAAGGGAGGAAACAACTGCCCCCTCTTTCGTGACACCGCCGGCAACCGCAGCGAAGCCGGGCGATTCCCCCTGTTCCTTGTGCGGACACGAACCACGGCCCAGGGGCGTGAGCCAACCGACCCCTGCGTTAGGCGCTCGTGGATAATCAACGCGCACCTGCGAAGCCCCCTTGTTGGTAAAGCCTCCACTGCTACCTCTCTGGCGGTTGGAACAAAGGCCGCACCACCAAGACGAGTTCCTGGAGAGACTTTCGGCGGATAACCAGTCATTTGCCAAGCATATTCATTTTAGTGCAACATACAAAGCATGCTTTGTACACCCGCCTCAGGCTCGCCTGGCAACGGCTATGCCGCGCCAGGGTCGCCGAGAAGCAGTTGACTGCGCAACTTCACTTGGTCTCCTTTCTGGTCTACGACTGAATATGCACACTCTTTCGGGCACCCCTAGTTCAGTCCTTCTCCAGCGTTTCGGCGTGTAGCTGGCTATCCTCTTCAGGACCTGCCACAACCAACCACACGGGGCAGGCCGACGCTGTCACAAACGACGCGTGGTGTTTCTGACTGTGCGAAAACACCACGCGTACCTCTTGAATGCAAAGATACACTGTGTCTGGCTGTATTATGGGACTCCCCCGTACACACCAAAATTGCCAGAAGATGTCAAGCCAAGCTCTGAGAACCTGCTGCTTTGGCCTTCGAAGAAGGGAAAAAACAACTGGCTGGGCTCCCTATGGGGCCACGAAGCGATGTACTGGGCGTGGGAGACGCATGCGGGCTGAGCCTTTAGGACCTTCGGTGGAGCTCCCTATGGTCGTCGTCGTAGTAGTAGTAGTAGTAGTAGTAGTAGCAATAGTAGTAGTAGTAGTAGTAGTAGTAGTAGTAGTAGTAGTAGTAGTAGTGGTAGTAGTAGTAGTAGTTGTAGTAGTGGTAGTAGTGGTGGTAGTAGTAGTAGTAGTACTAGTCGTAGCAGTAGTAGTAGTAGTAGTAGTAGTAGTAGTAGTACAAGTGGTAGTAGTAGTAGTAGTACTACGACTACTAGCAGTAGTAGCAGTACCAGTAGCAGTAGTAGTGGTATTATTCATAGTAGTAGTACTAGTCGTAGTAGTAGTAGTAGTAGTAGTAGTAGAAAAAGAAGTAGTAGTAGTAGTAGTAGTAGTAGTAGTAGTAGTAGTAGTAATAGTAGTAGTAGTAGTCGTAGTAGCACTAGTCGTAACAGTAGTAGTAGTAGTCGTGGTAGTAGTAGTAGTAGTAGTAGTAGTAGTAGTCGTAGTAGTAGCAGCAGTAGTAGTAGCAGTAGTAGTAGTGGTTGCGTAGTAGTAGTAGTAGTTTTTGGAGTCCCGAAACTGTGCGGTGACCGGACCGTGCGGTGACCTCGAAATCCCCCCAGACCTCACCGCACGGTCCGTCACCGCACGGTCTTGGGACCCTGGAAGCCCCTGTCGCCCGATACATCCTCGGAGAACGGCCCGAGTCCCAAAACCGTGCGGTGACCCCGAATCCCCACAAACTCACCGCACGGTGTGGTCACCACCCCGTTTGGGGGCCCCCGATAGTAGTGGTAGCCCCAGTAGCAATAGTAGCAATAGTAGCAGTAGTAATAGTAGTAACAGTAGTAGTAGTAGTAGTAGTAGTAGTAGTAGTAGTAGTAGTAGTAGTAGTAGCAGTCGTAGTAGTAGTAGTAGTAGTAGTAGTAGTAGCAGCAGCAGTAGCAGTAGCAGTAGCAGTAGCGGCGGTAGTAGTAGCACAAGTAGTCGTAGTCGTAGCAGTAGTAGTAGTAGCGGTGGTCGCAGCAGTAATAGTAGTAGAAGTAGTAGTAGCAGTAATATTAGTACTGGTGGTGGTGGTGGTGGTAGTGGTAGTGGTGGAGGTGGTATTAGAATCCGCCGGCCCCCTTGTGGGGCCACCAGGCTGTAGGCCCGTGATTCGCAGTTTCCTGTACCAGTCGTAGGTTGTAGTTTCCAGTGTTACAGTTCTGCTTCTTGCTGGTTACTGAAACTAGTTGACTTATTGCTGGTTACTGTAACTAGTTGATTGACCGCGCGAGGGGGGGGGGAGGCCCAAACGGGATTTTTAGCACCCCCTGGGCGCGTTGTCTGAATTGCTGGGGGGGCTCGAAACGAGAGAGCGTGATCCACCGCCGCCTTTACTGTTGAAAATTGGCAACCTTTCCTCGGAACCGTGGGTCCTCCCCCCCCTCCCCTCCGAAATCCTCCCCCCCCCTGCCGTAACCCCTCCCCCCCACACCCCCCTCCTCCTGGCAACTCCCCCCCCCTCCCCTGACCCCTCCCGCCCCCCCCCTCTCCC